GGGGGATACATTGGAATTTCCATTGTGATGACTACTGCAGATGGTAGTCAGTGATCAGGGAGAGGCAGGCTTCATAGCTTAATTCTGTTTGTTTCCATCAAAGATGGGCATCTATGCGACTGACCTAGACAGTCTGATAGGCAGCCACAATTTGTTTTTACAGTCTGCAGCCCCAAAGAGTAATGTCTTTAATCTGTCAGAGAGCAAGTGCAGTAACCTCAGTCCCCCACGAAACAATACTGAAAAACAGTCTCAGAGAAAGAATGGTTACATTTTTTTATCTGAAGAAAAAAGTAAAAATTACAAATGATGTTTAAGTTACACAAAGGAGTACAGAGCGAAAGATGTCTCCCTCACTCCCTTGACTTCTGCTCTCTCTCACGAGGCAGCCACTGCTATTTTCTGTCCTTTCACATTATTTTTATGAGCGCACGAACACATCTGTCCTTTCTACTTCCATCTCGAGGTCCCAGTCGGTCAGGCATGGCGTCGTTGCTCTGAACCGCGGAGCCCGGGGCCGAACGGCGCCCCCCACCCCGCGACTCGGCATCTGGCCGACCCGCACCTCCACTCCCACGCGCCCGGCACGGACGACCCCAGGGCATCCTCCCCGGGCACACGCACCGCAACGCCGCTAGACCCCAGGAAGCGGAATCGCTGAGCCACCGAAACGCGCGTTTAAAACCGAAAGACAGCACCACCCCCTCCAAGAGGTGCAGACCAGCAACCGAGATGCTCGCGCTCTCCAGAGCTCTCCCAGAGCACTACCAACTTTCCGATCGCGGGGAAATTGGCACCCGAAAGTTTCGACCTGCGTTTACCTCGTCATCTGTAAGGCGGGCCGTCCCTTTGCATATCTAAACGCCCTCTGCACTTCCAACGCCGCTTTGGGAATTTGCTTCGGGGCCCAACGCCCAAATCACTCAGTCCCTTTTGCCCCGACTTAACATGGCGCTGACCGCAGCTACTTCCGAGATCCTGGAACACCAAATCGTCCCGGCCAGCATCAAAGAGGGCGTCCAGGCCCGCAGCCTCCAGTCTGCGCACACTCTGCTCGCCTCCACGCGTCCACTCTCGAAGGCCGTCCGCCAGGTTCCGCTCTAGCCGCCACGCTCGGTGGTTGCCACCGCCAGCCAATCGCAGGGCCCGGACGCCTCCTTTATGCTGCCCTCCAAGATAAGGACAAAGACTGAATAGCCTGCATTGAATTTTATGGGATGCATACAAACCAGGAGGGCCAAGCACCACTGAAAAGGGAAAAGGTGGGATTGGACTCACCACCCAAACCACCTTTTCCTTTGGATTTTGGTTCCAGCCCAGGGAAGGTAGGGGTCCAAGGACAAGACAATTTATTTCAGTTTGGGAAGGACACACTGTGGGTGATTCAGGACCTCTGGTCCCAGCCTGTGAGGACCACCCACTCTGCTTGAACGGACTGTCAGCTTTGCAACCAACACCAAAACGAGGGCGTGGAGGCAGGAGGGAAGAGGAGGGAGGTGATGGCAGGGCAAACTCCACCCCAGCCAGAGGCGGAGCGGGGGGGGGGGGGGGGGGCGGAGGGGGGGGGAGCCGGGGACGGATCCGGGCACGGGGGCGGGGACCGGGGACCCGGGATGGGGGCGGGCGACGGGGTCTGAGTGCTGGGGGACTGGAGCCGGGGCCTGAGGGTGGGGGCTGGGCGAGACCGGGCCCACTGGACTGTGGGAGGCTCCTGGGCGCGGCGCGTTCTGCTGCCCGGTTTTTCTGGTGGAATGGGCCGTCGTGTAACAGCTGCCGTTTATTCACGTATTGGTCGGCCCAGTTACTTCTGCGTGTTTCATGCAGGTTATTTAATTTTCACTGCAGCGTTATGAAGTAGGTGCAATAATTTATTCCCTGGAATGCGGTTTTCTCAAGGGTATTACTACCCAAAGCATCTTCTCTGACCTTAATGGAGCGAAATTAGAAATAAGTAGCAGAAGGAACACTGGAAAATCCACAGATATGTGGAAATTAAATAACACTCTTAACCCACCAGTGGGTCTAAGAGGAAATCAAAAGGGAAATTAGAAAATACCTTGAGATAAATAAAAATTTAATGTACCAAAACTTAGAGGATGCAGGTAAGCAGTGCTCAGAGGGAAATTTATAGCCGTAGGCAGCTACATTTAAAAAAAAAGACCTCAAGTCCCAGCTCCTAGAATAGAGCTGCTCAAATATTTGTTGATGTAATGAACGTGGGAAGCTATGGCCTTGAAGAAAGTCCTGTAACTAGTGAGAGGAAGAGCCC